ATTTTTGTCATGACAGGAGTCCAGAAGGAAGGCTGCATAGTGGAGTGGATCTAGAGAGAGAGACTGTAAAACAATGAAAGAATTTTTCCTTTATTTTTCAAAGAGAAGAGCGAACTGAGAGTGCAGGGGATGGAGGGGATGGAAGGGATGGAGGGGAGAGAGGGGATAGAGATGGAGGGGATGCAGGGGATGCAGGGGGTGGAGGAGTAGGGGTGGGGAGTAGAGGGTGGAGAGGTGGGGTGTGGAGAGGTGGGGGGCAGGGAAAAAAGTGCTATAGTGAATTTATGGAAATCCAAAGTCTCTGTAAATTTTCATTAAAATTAATAATAATAAAAAAATGTAATCTTGAGGAATTGCCACATTCCTTTCCTATAAAAACAGTTCTTTGTGGACTCCAGGTGAAAGATTGTGATATCCTACAATAATCCTGAAATAATTGTTATGTATATCTTTATAGAATCCATTTACTTATGCCTTGTTGTTAATAAATTCCAGAGATGAAAATAATTACCTGCTCATATGCCCAGAATTTAACAGCTGTCTCGGGAGCAATTTTAATGACGTTTGTACCATTTCCTCTCCAAAGGGAACGAATGCCACCTTCTTTCACCATCTGCTGAAAGCCACCAGCTAAATTCATTTTGTTTGATTTTGAACCATGCACCTAAAAAAAGTAAAAGCAAAAGGATGTAAAATATGGGTGCCATGTTATTACTATTTCAAAACTAAATGTACAAACCACACACTCCTTTTTTTACAGTAACATTTGTTTGAAAATAAAGAAGACTGATAAAATACCATGGCTTTGAACCAGGAAATCATTTCTGTTTGACCCTTTGATAAGAATCTGACTTTCTGCCCCAGATAAACTGTGAATTAGAATCATACTTTTAATAAGTTATCAGTCTGCGAGTTCAAATGAACCATTCAAAGCCCTAGTAAAGTACCTAACAATGGAAGAGATGATTAGAATCATTTGAGAGACCTTTATCTTAACTGCAAGCTACAAAGAATCAGATGCCAACGACGGCTCAGTTTCCAAACGGAACAGATTCTTCAGCAAAAGAGAAATGCTCTTTCTTTAGAATACTAGTTTGACAGAGATGGGCATATCAGAAATTAGCTATTTAAAATGGGGAGATATTAAGGCATGAAAAATGAAGCTGCTGGCTTACAGGCTTTTCACAAATGCAGTTATTAGTAAGATTGTAATGAGAAATCTAAGTTTTCAAATTGGAAGGTTAATGGCTAGAAAAGCCAGTGGGTGGTGTGTGGTGTCAAGACTTCATTGCACAAAATGACTTTCCTACCTACTGAGTTCAACTTTGTCACACAGATGCGTGAAAACATACAAATAGAGTGTGTTGGTCTATTCACAAGGGGATTGGCTAGTCTTGCCACTAAATTGAGGGGGTTCAGCAATAGAAATTGAGACTAATACCACCAGCAAAGCAGCAGAAGGGAATGCAGAGTGTGAGTGCTTTGGGGCCAAAGGTTCCTGCACCTCTCAGACTGGGGCCTACAGTGGCAGCAGGGACAGTAGGGAACCAGAGACCAGGCATGCGAAAGAGATGATCCTGGGGCTGCTACTGCATGGAATCAGAGCTGGGGCCTGGCCCAAAGCTAGGATCCTTCGCCCAAGTTTGTTTGAAGACTGGGAGAAGGGTGGGGAGAGAAGTGCTAATTGGCAGGACTAAGAGCATTGGAACAATGGCCTACAGCCAGGAGACTGAAGGTTGAGGTGCTTGCAAGCACAGTTCAGAAGCTGCCCTGACTGAGTGATTGTGTATACTGTTGCCCACCTCAATTACAGTCTTTTGGCTTCCTTTATAAACACAGTAATCCTGTATGGGGGCAGAGGGAGCTGGGGGGAGCAACCACATGTACACAGATCACTGTTGTTGTTGTTTTGTGCTGTCGAGCCGCCTGCGACTCATAGTGACCCTATGTGCAACAACCCTAAAATCCTGCTCTATCCTGTGCTGTTGTTATTGTCTCTGACACTTCTTCTTCCATTACCCCAGTCACTGAATCAATCCATCTCATCAAGGGTCTTCCTCTCCTGCACTGTCCCTGCACCCTCCCAAGCATGACGTCCCTCTCCAAAGACCAGTCCCGCCTTGCAACATGTCCAAAGTAGGTCAGACAAAGCTTCAGAATCCTTGTCTCCAAAGAGCAGTCTGATCTCACCCTCTCTAGGATGAATTTATTTGTTCTCCTAGCAGTCCATGGTGTATTCAATACTTAATATATATTTAACTACTGTATGCAAGACAATTAAATATATGCTATAAAAAAAGTTGGGGAAAAAACACTAAAACTCTAATGTATAAATTTACTTTCAAAATTAAATTCAAACATCATGTTGCTGTTATGTGCCATCGAGTGGCCTGAGACTCATAGCGACCTTATGTACAACAGCCCTTAACTCTGCCCTATCCTGTGCCAATCTCACTGTCTCCGACACATCTACCCCCGTTACCCCAGTCATGAATCAATCCATCTCATCGAGGGGCTTCCTTTCCTGTGCTGCCCTCCCAAGTATGACGTCCCTCTCCAAGGACTGGTCCCTCCTTGCAACATGTCCAAAGTATGTCAGAC